TCTGAATCCGCTCCCATCATCCCTATCTAGCGAACGCAGTTCCCGGTAGGGGCGCTGGTGTAGCTATTTTTAGAAAATGACCAGAATTTGGTTCACCGACCCCGTCGCGTTTAAGGGATTCGTTCGAGGAATGTTTAAGAGAAAACGCGGTGATTCCCACCAAACCTGAGCGAGAACGTGTGAGAACATTGTTAGCCAAAACGAAACACGCCAAACTCGTGCTGAAAGCAGGCCAACCCTTGGCTTATGCGGTGTGCTAGCTAAGCAACACTTAGCAAAACTTGGCAAACTGCTTAGCAAAGTCAAGCACTGCTTAGCAAAACTTAGCAAAATCAAGCAACACTTAGCAAACTGCTTAGCAAAATAAAGCAACACTTAGCAAAACTTAGCAAACTGCTTAGCAAAACTTAGCAAAATCAAGCAACACTTAGCAAAACTTAGCAAACTGCTTAGCAAAACTTAGCAAAATCAAGCAACACTTAGCAAAACTTAGCAAACTGCTTAGCAAAATCAAGCAACCTGCTTAGCAAAACTTAGCAAAATCAAGCAACCTGCTTAGCAAATTAAATGCATCACCTTTATATATAAAGACCATGACGACGTTTGAAATTCTCGTGTTGTTTTACCTGACATTCATCTCGTTCTGTTTGGGTTATGCCGGATTTTATTATATTAGATTTAAAATCCGATTGATGTATTATAAGATGGAGTTGGACGAACAGATGATATCCGAGGAGGAGAAGGAGGGTAATGTCAGGGATAAGCGAGAAAGACTCGTGGCCCTCGTCGTGGGTGGGAAGGGGAAAACTGTACACGAGATACGAAGCCCTATTCGGTGCTGAAATGACGAAAACCATAGGGTCGGCTATAACGCAATTCTACACCATTCTAATTGAATGACAGGGCCACCGTGTGCCGTCATTACAATGAATAGTAGCGCTAATAATTTGTCTGGCTGCTAAAACACACTTGATTGGCTAAATACATTTACAATATATAAAATAATAAAGCAGCAATGAAACACTTGCATTAAGTTCAAGAAAAGCAGACCCCATTGCCATGACGAGCACTACTTCATTTTAAAAACCATTGGAGGTAACAAAAGACCAGTGAAGTCTGAGAGAGTGACAACTGGAAAACATATTACTTGATGCCACGGTAACCGCCAAACTCTCCCCCGAGAAGCCCTATCGCTAACAATCGTATGAGGTCATAATACGACGCATGCAGTGCACGGAGTTCGAAAACCGTTAGTTGTTTTGAGCTCACTGTGTACAACTATATTTTCACTGCTTTATTTATACTATTTTATAGTTGAATCGTTTGCACACTCAACTTAACTCGTAATTAACCGTCTTTATAGCAGTTTTAAGCTTGTAAGAATATGTTTCACTGATTTTAAAAATCCAGTCGAGTAACAGACGCCATTTTGTTTGCATGCCATACGGTCGGTAGCGAAAAATAAAATAAAATGATATTTTGTACATTTAACATGTCAGTAATATAAATACGTTGTATGCCTCTCCCTCGGGTAATACAGTCTGGTGTACGCCTTTTTGTAGCAGTGTCATCCCTCGCCTACTGCTTTCGCTCGTTAGATACCAAACCATTCCCTCGTTTCATAAATATGGTATTACACGGGACATCGTTTAGTATTCTCTATATATCAAACCGTATTACCCTCTAGAGAAGCATACAACTTATAGTGTAAAACCGCTGGACGTATGACGTCATAATGGTAATACTGTTATGACGTCACAATGCTAATACCTCTGTCATAATGGTATTAAACCTTGCTTGACTCAACACACTGAGAGTCAACACACTGTAGGCAGTTTCTGTCAATTTATGTTGCAGAGTCATAAACAGAATACTAAACTCGCTTCCGTGAAATATCATTTCGTGAACGATTTAGCAGCCAACTCACTTTCGTTCTTTTGATACCAAATCATTAACTCGTTTAATAGAAATGGTATTACACGGAAGGTCGTTTAGTATCCTCTATGAACAGACTGAGAATTTGTGCTCCGTATTATGTTTGAATTGTTTGACCTTGTTAAGGAATGTGGAATCTTGACTAGCTGGTATCTTCATGCCAATTTACGTAAAGACATGTAGTGTAATATTCTGTCGTGTTTAGGAAAGTTCTTTACAGCAGTTTTAAATCAACGACTCACTAATTTTACATAAAATGATACGATTTTAAGTGCGGCCCGACCTGCGTTCTTGAGAACTACGCAACAACAGATCATATTTAACATATGTTATATTTGGGATCACACTTTCATAGTAAAGTACAGATTCGAATACTTTGGTTGGGTTGAGTCCCGTCCGGGATCCGAACCTACGCCCTCAGAGTCAGGCACCTAATCGCAAGCACACAAACTCAGCCGCCTAGCCTGCTCAGCCACCGCGACTTCCATTTTTCTTATGCTTTTGATGCTCATGTTGTCAGTCGCGGGGCTATCTGGTCCAGACTCGAATACTTACAGACCGCTGCCATATAGCTGGAATATTACACGATGCGGCGTTAAACAACAAACATATTTGTTGAATTAAGATCTTAGACGCCTTACTCTGAGATACTTTCCGTGTATTTTAGCCCATATTTACAATAGTTCATAGTTGGGGCATGTAGATAAAACTTTGTGATTTCCTACCTCCCTCTTCACTTAACCAGCGGCGGTGGGGTAGCCTAGTGGTTAAAGCGTTCGCCCGTCACGCCGAAGGTCCGGGTTCGATTCCCCACATGGGTACAATGTGTGAAGCCTATTTCTGGTGCTCCCCGCCGTGATATTGCTGGAATATTGCTAAAAGCGGCGTGAAACCATATTCACTCACTAACTCACTTCAATGAACCATTTCATGTTTACACAATATTACCCAGTCCGTGATAATATTTTACAAATGTTTGCAATAATGAGTGAGGGTTAAATAATCATACTAAACGCTAACAACATCCCTTCCAGCATTAAACCACATAAAAAACGAACTCGATAAATCTGAGTGAGTGAGTGGTTTGCGCCGCTTTTAGCAATATTCCATCAGTATCACAGCGGGGGACACCAGAAATGGGCTTTACACATTGTACCCATTTTTACACTCTGAGATGCTGAACACACACACGTTGATGACAGTTTTACCACCATCTGGGTTGTTGGTACCACGCTGGTGATATTCACACTTCAAGGAATGGTTGGACACGTGTTTTAATGTCATTACTGACGACAGTGAACGATTTTAGACTATATTTTTATGCCATCTTTAGAATGACATACCTTCAGACACAAATTACACATTAAGTCGAGTTTATTTTGACGTATGTGTTTGAACGGGCTTAATTGCCACTGGTGATTCATCACAGCCTCCAATCGAAAAATAATGAGTGAGAGAGTGGAAATTGTTTGACGCCAATAAAACGTAAAGTTGGTAAAAAAGATGCATGCATGAACTTGGTGTCAGTGTCATATCAAATATCGTGACCCATAAGGTTAAGCAGAATGACTAATATAGAACTGATCACATCTACATGTGTATAATACCGAATTAAATAATTGTAAGTGTAAGAATTTTCTCAAACAGAAGGAGAAAAGGCCGAGAATGCTCTATTGTAACTCCTTATCACATGACTAAAAATACATTAATACAGTAGAACTGTCGAGGTCTTGGAACTCATTTTGATATCTGCTGTAACTCCATAACACATGACTAAGAATACATTAATACAGTAGAACTGCCGAGGTCTTGGGACTTATATATTATTTTGATATCTGCTGTAACTCCATAACACATGACTAAGAATACATTAACACAGTAGAACTGTCGAGGTCTTGGAACTCATTTTGATATCTGCTGTAACTCCATAACACATGACTAAGAATACATTAATACAGTAGAACTGTCGAGGTCTTGGGACTTATATATTATTTTGATATCTGCTGTAACTCCATAACACATGACTAAGAATACATTAACACAGTAGAACTGTCGAGGTTTTGGGACTTATATATTATTTTGATATCTGCTGTAACTCCATAACACATGACTAAGGATATTTTAATACAGTAGAACTGTCGAGGTCTTGGGACTTATATATTATTTTGATATCTGCTGTAACTCCTTATCACATGACTAAGAATACATTAACACAGTAGAACTGTCGAGGTCTTGGAACTCATGTTGATGCGCTGCTGTAACTCCATAACACATGACTAAGAATATATTAATACAGTAGAACTGTCGAGGTCTTGGGACTTATATATTATTTTGATATCTGCTGTAACTCCATAACACATGACTAAGAATACATTAATACAGTAGAACTGTCGAGGTCTTGGGACTTATATATTATTTTGATATCTGCTGTAACTCCTTATCACATTACTAAGAATACATTAATACAGTAGAACTGTCGAGGTCTTGGAACTCATGTTGATGCGCTGCTGTAACTCCATAACACATGACTAAGAATATATTAATACAGTAGAACTGTCGAGGTCTTGGAACTCATTTTGATATCTGCTGTAACTCCATAACACATGACTAAGAATACATTAATACAGTAGAACTGTCGAGGTCTTGGGACTTATATATTATTTTGATATCTGCTGTAACTCCATAACACATGACTAAGAATACATTACTACAGTAGAACTGTCGAGGTCTTGGGACTTATATATTATTTTGATATCTGCTGTAACTCCTTATCTTGGCCAGTAGAGTAGACCAGGTAGGTGTTACCCCTACTGTTGCATTGTCGGACGGAGCATAGTAAAACGTGCTAGGTATACCTATATGAAAATAACCCGTAACAGCATTTCGGTATACATGAAAGCCTATATATAAAATAGAGAACTTAAGTACACCAACGGTACCGCATTTTGGTACACATGAAAAACATATATATATATATAATATAATATACCACCTACGTACAAAAACGCTTGCTAAAATAAAATAACTTTTGTGGGGAGCAGAGCCGAGTGCCACCCAAAAATTGGTTAATACTGACACATAGCGAGTTGAGCAGCTTTCAGTGTATCCAAAGAGGTATGTATGTATCGTGTATATGCCATGGAGGACCACCGACCCAATGTTTGAATGAGATGGTCGTCGACAAAGTTGGCTGCTGCCGTAGTAGCCGCGCCAATACGGAACGAGTGCCCATTAAAGTCACTGCTCCTATAACTGAGCCTGTTTAACAGCACTTGCAGTTTGTGGAGGAAAAATTCTCTTGTGAGAGGGTATCCTTCCTGCGTCACAAACAAAGCGGGGGAGGGACGGGGGATAGAGGCTCTGAGCCTCAGATATTGAGACATAGCGTGTACATGTTGGAATCGTTCATTGTCAAACACGACTATCTTGACTCCTCTCCGATATGGGTCCGTCTTGGAGGACCGGAGGGTACGCTCCATAAAGGAATTGTCCTCCGCTAACACAACATCATTCCTACACAAATTACTGTCACAGTCAAAACTGCCTCTAACCGTGAATTCCCCACAACGGAGGAACCCCAAAAAGGCCAAACAAACTACTGCTAACATCAGGCTATCAACAAAAGGGGTAAAGCATCCTTGATGTAAGGACCTGCACATGTGATCCAGGATGTCGACTGTGATGGGCAATCGTTGTCTGGCCGGGTGTGCTTGCTGCCTTTTGATTCCCTTTAGAATGTACTCTAATCTGGGCAGTGGGACCCCTTCTGGTGACCACAATGGATTGCCCCTACCTGCTCTAATATAAAAGAAACGTATCCCTGTTTTGATTGATGTATAAGCTATACCCAGAACTGAATGGCAGTATGTTACAAAGTCTACAAGCACTGTCTCTGTTAATAAGGGATACCGCCATGGTTCCCCAGCACAAATTATAGGCTGCCAAAAAACGTTTTAAAGCTTGCAATCCCGATCGGTAGACTTGAAGACCTCGACAGTTCTACTGTATTAATATATTCTTAGTCATGTGTTATGGAGTTACAGCAGATATCAAAATAATATATAAGTCCCAAGACTTCGACAGTTCTACTGTATTAATATATTCTTAGTCACATGTGTTAATGTATTCTTAGTCATGTGATAAGGAATTACAGCAGAGCACCAAAATGAGTTCCAAGACCTCGACAGTTCTACTGTGTTAATGTATTCTTAATCATGTGATAAGGGGTTACAGCAGAGCATCAAAATGAGTTCCAAGACCTCGTATTATTTTGATATCTGCTGTAACTCCTTATCACATGACTAAGAATACATTAACACAGTAGAACTGTCGAGGTCTTGGAACTCATGTTGATGCTCTGCTGTAACTCCATAACACATGACTAAGAATATATTAATACAGTAGAACTGTCGAGGTCTTGGGACTTATATATTATTTTGATATCTGCTGTAACTCCTTATCACATGACTAAGAATACATTAATACAGTAGAACTGTCAAGGTCTTGAGACTCATTTTGATGCTCTGCTGTAACTCCATAACACATGACTAAGAATACATTAACACAGTAGAACTGTCGAGGTCTTGGAACTCATTTTGATGCTCTGCTGTAACTTCTTATCACATGACTAAGAATACATTAACACAGTAGAACTGTCGAGGTCTTGGAACTCATTTTGGTGCTCTGCTGTAACTCCATAACACATGACTAAGAATACATTAACACAGTAGAACTGTCGAGGTCTTGGAACTCATTTTGATGCTCTGCTGTAACTCCTTATCACATGACTAAGAATACATTAATACAGTAGAACTGTCGAGGTCTTAGGACTTATATATTATTTTGATATCTGCTGTAACTCCATAACACATGACTAAGAATACAGTACTACAGTAGAACTGTCGAGGTCTTGGGACTTATATATTATTTTGATATCTGCTATAACTCCTTATCACATGACTAAGAATACATTAATACAGTAGAACTGTCGAGGTCTTGAGACTCATTTTGATGCTCTTCTGTAACTCCATAACACATGACTAAGAATACATTAACACAGTAGAACTGTCGAGGTTTTGGAACTCATTTTGATATCTGCTGTAACTCCATAACACATGACTAAGAATACATTAACACAGTAGAACTGTCGAGGTCTTGGAACTCATTTTGGTGCTCTGCTGTAACTCCATAACACATGACTAAGAATACATTAACACAGTAGAACTGTCGAGGTCTTGGAACTCATTTTGATGCTCTGCTGTAACTCCTTATCACATGACTAAGAATACATTAACACAGTAGAACTGTCGAGGTCTTGGAACTCATGTTGATGCTCTGCTGTAACTCCTTATCACATGACTAAGAATACATTAATACAGTAGAACTGTCGAGGTCTTGGGACTTATATATTATTTTGATATCTGCTGTAACTCCTTATCACATGACTAAGAATACATTAATACAGTAGAACTGTCGAGGTCTTGGGACTTATATATTATTTTGATATCTGCTGTAACTCCATAACACATGACTAAGAATACAGTACTACAGTAGAACTGTCGAGGTCTTGGGACTTATATATTATTTTGATATCTGCTGTAACTCCTTATCACATGACTAAGAATACATTAATACAGTAGAACTGTCGAGGTCTTGAGACTCATTTTGATGCTCTTCTGTAACTCCATAACACATGACTAAGAATACATTAACACAGTAGAACTGTCGAGGTCTTGGAACTCATTTTGATATCTGCTGTAACTCCATAACACATGACTAAGAATACATTAACACAGTAGAACTGTCGAGGTCTTGGAACTCATTTTGGTGCTCTGCTGTAACTCCATAACACATGACTAAGAATACATTAACACAGTAGAGCTGTCGAGGTCTTGGAACTCATTTTGATGCTATGCTGTAACTCCTTATCACATGACTAAGAATACATTAATACAGTAGAACTGTCAAGGTCTTGAGACTCATTTTGATGCTCTGCTGTAACTCCATAACACATGACTAAGAATACATTAACACAGTAGAACTGTCGAGGTCTTGGAACTCATTTTGATGCTCTGCTGTAACTTCTTATCACATGACTAAGAATACATTAACACAGTAGAACTGTCGAGGTCTTGGAACTCATTTTGGTGCTCTGCTGTAACTCCATAACACATGACTAAGAATACATTAACACAGTAGAACTGTCGAGGTCTTGGAACTCATGTTGATGCTCTGCTGTAACTCCTTATCACATGACTAAGAATACATTAATACAGTAGAACTGTCGAGGTCTTGGGACTTATATATTATTTTGATATCTGCTGTAACTCCTTATCACATGACTAAGAATACATTAATACAGTAGAACTGTCGAGGTCTTGGGACTTATATATTATTTTGATATCTGCTGTAACTCCATAACACATGACTAAGAATACAGTACTACAGTAGAACTGTCGAGGTCTTGGGACCTATATATTATTTTGATATCTGCTATAACTCCTTATCACATGACTAAGAATACATTAATACAGTAGAACTGTCGAGGTCTTGAGACTCATTTTGATGCTCTTCTGTAACTCCATAACACATGACTAAGAATACATTAACACAGTAGAACTGTCGAGGTCTTGGAACTCATTTTGATATCTGCTGTAACTCCATAACACATGACTAAGAATACATTAACACAGTAGAACTGTCGAGGTCTTGGAACTCATTTTGGTGCTCTGCTGTAACTCCATAACACATGACTAAGAATACATTAACACAGTAGAACTGTCGAGGTCTTGGAACTCATTTTGATGCTCTGCTGTAACTCCTTATCACATGACTAAGAATACATTAACACAGTAGAACTGTCGAGGTCTTGGAACTCATTTTGGTGCTCTGCTGTAACTCCATAACACATGACTAAGAATACATTAACACAGTAGAACTGTCGAGGTCTTGGAACTCATTTTGATGCTCTGCTGTAACTCCTTATCACATGACTAAGAATACATTAATACAGTAGTAGAACTGTCGAGGTCTTGGGACTTATATATTATTTTGATATCTGCTGTAACTCCTTATCACATGACTAAGAATACATTAATACAGTAGAACTGTCGAGGTCTTGGGACTTATATATTATTTTGATATCTGCTGTAACTCCATAACACATGACTAAGAATACAGTACTACAGTAGAACTGTCGAGGTCTTGGGACTTATATATTATTTTGATATCTGCTATAACTCCTTATCACATGACTAAGAATACATTAATACAGTAGAACTGTCGAGGTCTTGAGACTCATTTTGATGCTCTTCTGTAACTCCATAACACATGACTAAGAATACATTAACACAGTAGAACTGTCGAGGTCTTGGAACTCATTTTGATATCTGCTGTAACTCCATAACACATGACTAAGAATACATTAACACAGTAGAACTGTCGAGGTCTTGGAACTCATTTTGGTGCTCTGCTGTAACTCCATAACACATGACTAAGAATACATTAACACAGTAGAACTGTCGAGGTCTTGGAACTCATTTTGATGCTCTGCTGTAACTCCTTATCACATGACTAAGAATACATTAACACAGTAGAACTGTCGAGGTCTTGGAACTCATGTTGATGCTCTGCTGTAACTCCTTATCACATGACTAAAAATACATTAACACAGTAGAACTGTCGAGGTCTTGGAACTCATTTTGATGCTCTGCTGTAACTCCATAACACATGACTAAGAATACATTAACACAGTAGAACTGTCGAGGTCTTGGAACTCATTTTGATATCTGCTGTAACTCCATATCACATGACTAAGAATACATTAACACAGTAGAACTGTCGAGGTCTTGGAACTCATTTTGATGCTCTGCTGTAACTCCTTATCACATGACTAAGAATACATTAACACAGTGGAACTGTCGAGGTCTTGGAACTCATTTTGATATCTGCTGTAACTCCTTATCACATGACTAAGAATACATTAACACAGCAGAACTGTCGAGGTCTTCAAACTTATTATGGTGCCATGAAACTAGAAGTACATGACAACACTTCAATAGCAATCAATCTTTAAGAACCAACTTTAAAAGAAATTGATCAACTGATCTTAAGACAATATATACTTAATAAAAAAATGTATTCTATTTTGGGATGATATTATTTGAATACCAAGTTAATGATTGTATACAGATATAGAAAATGAACATTTCATTCAAAAGGTCTTATGAATTACGTGCAAAGCATTTCTCATGATGTGCATGCGAATATGTTCCACGTAAAGTTCGAAATTTACAGTGAAGTGTGTTAATGTGTACAAAGAAAATTGTTCTAATATTGTTTTAAACTCGGGCGGTTGGGTAGTCTAGTGGTTAAAGTGTTCGCTCGTCACGCCGAAGGCCCGGGTTCGATTCCCCACATGGGTACAATGTGTGAAGCAGATTTCTGGTGTCCCCCGCAGCGATATTGCTGGAATATTGCTAAAAACGGCGTAAAACTAAACTCACTTCCTGTTTTAAACATTTTTTAACATGCGGCGTATGTCACGCAAGGAACAGATACGCAGGAGGCCTTAACAAGGCAGCGTCCTGTCATGAGCGCTTAACGTTTTCCAGAGTACGGCGTTAAGCAACAGACCAACACCAATTTCAAATTTTCGACCTATTTTCTTCACCAGCTGCGTTTGCTAAAAAACTGAAGCACATGGCCAACAATACATTAACTATCTGTAATCTATATCAATTTGAATTTTGGACTGTGAACAATTAACTCCTTCAGATTTTGGATAGCGAGGCTGTTTGCCTCAATATATATCCAACTTATTAACTGACAAGCAGTTTCACGTCCTCATGGGTTCTGCCCTGTATTGCCAATGTGACTATAAACTTTAACTCACTCACTCTATCCTGTCTGATCATGATAATGAGGTGTGAGTTTAGTTTAGGCATTTAAATATTACGTAGTGTCCGTCAGATCTCTTTACACGAGCACATTTGTTGTGTGTGCTGTTAATAATACTCGTACATTGTTCACACACTACTACACGTTGCAGTAACAGGAACTGTCTTTATTTAGACGAGTGATAGCGTCTCTGCTTTGAGCCCTGCTGTGGTTTCAATTACTATATTTATGCATGTTCATGAATGTCCCAACATGCAGAATATGATAAGTTCAGCATTATAGACGGATACTACAATCGAGTCTTTCTTAATTGTTTTGTTTTTGACTATTGACACGTGTGCATTATTCATAGGTAATATTATGCATGTCAGTATTTTGAATTTACCATGAATATCTGACGGTGTCATAATCTCTAAAACAGAATTCATCAAGTGATGCCTTCTTGAAAATATTGTCTTAAAATGGCACACGTTTTTCAACCGTAGATTCAATGAAATGATCATCCCGAGTTATAGAGAAAGACTTCAAATTCAGTAGAGCTGCCCTTGCACTTGAAAGAAATATGGCTTGATGTTGCGGAGGGTCAGTTTGCCATCAGATACTTTCAGATACGGAACCGTTATCTCAGAGATTACACGGTTCTTAGATGCCAATGGACATTTCACTTCAACAGTGGTATCATCTCCAAGAATTGAATCTTTTGAAGCTCCGAGGAATGGATGAACATCGGACACAAACATACCACATGGTGAGGTTTTGAAACTAGACTTTTGAAAAGCTTTAATCGCCACCTTTTCATATGTTCTCCAATGTCATAGTGGTGAACTCTGAATGTCCTCAAACATCTGTCATTGATGAGCAAGTTTATGAGTTTTGTCTGATGCCACACAAATTTTCCCAAAATTGGAAGAAGAAATTATCTTTGTGTGTTCAATTTTCTTCTTCACAGGCTAGATGGAAAACAGCATGTGTCAGTGGAATGAAGGTTTGGCCCCTAGTTGCTTTCGACAGGTCGACAGATTTGTTGGAGGAAGTGGGATATCCAGCACACAAAGATCTGATTTAGTGGTGGCTCAGGGGAATTGGACAGGAAATCGGAACATCAACGAAGTCCTTGGACGTCACATGCTTCCGATTATGGACCGACACAGGGAGTTGTTCCAGCATGACAACGCTACTTCACATACGGTCCGCTACCTTCCCCGTTCTAACGTCAATGTCTTGTCATGCCCTTCCCGACCACCGGATCCAAACCCGATAGAACACCTATGGGATGAACTCGATCGACGTGCACGTCAACGTCAAAATACGCCCCAGACACTTCCACAACTGGTAATCGTATTGCAGGAAAAGTGGGGAAGAATTCCTCAAGAGCGACTTCGTCGACTTATTCAGTCTGTGCCGAGATGGTCCCGAGTAGTAGTTGCTGAAATGGTGGCCATACAAAGTACTGACTTTGACGCCACCTTGTGGACTCAACACAACAATAAAGGATGTCTACAGATGTGTGTATTTTCACCTTTTTACTGATAAATTAAATTATAAAGGATGTCAATAATAACACAAGAATATGTCATGGCACGAGGTAAATACATGCAGTTATCAAGGATTACTTCTGTGTTTGCCTTTGACCGGAAACAAACCGGTCTCCAAAGTCTTTTAGACTAAAATTACATCTAGTTTTCATGTTTAAAATAACACACAAAGCATGAACCCATCCTACTTGTGATAAAAAAGTAAATGTTTGAACCTATACACTTGTGGGGGAAGCAAATGTGTGAACCACCACACTTCTTGAAATAAGGTCAAGCGAGTCCCATATGTTCCCTCGAGTGTTAAATCGGTGATTGTTGCTCCGTAACTACCGCAGCACCCCTAGTGGGCAAGGGGGCACAACTCCAGGAAGGTTCCCCATTGGGACGAACGGGCATAGGTATCTTGATGTCAAAGGATTCATGATTAGGGTAATCCCCTTGGGCCTGACTAACCGTAAGGTCTCTATCTGCATAACTGTATGAACCCTGTTGTCTCAAATCTTCCAGATTCCTATCTCTTCAAGGTCTCACAAATGTGCTTGGGGTTGGAGGCCAATAAGGATCACTCACATTCTGCTTGAATAGAAGTCTATCCTCCTCCTCTAAGTCACTATTTGACATTCTCCAATATGGCAATGCCTCATCTCCCAGACTGTTATTTCGTGTAGCTTGTGCTCAGGAACTGTCTTTGGAGTGGATGTGTTTTCACGTGTACCGCTCCCCTGGGTTAGGTTAAATGGAATTGGTTAAGGGGCCCTTAATTTAACTTGGCCTGTCCCCCTCCGTTCCCTATACCCAGGGGTCAGAGCATGTCTCTGATGGACACTCCCATCAGCACTTTGGAGGACCTGAGAGTCAATCTCCTCGGTACTGGGCTTTGTCCTAGAACTCGGCTATGACACTCCCATACCATGAGGCTCAGCATGTGGATTAAACATGGGTGCCTTGGCACGATGGCCAGATTCAGGATTGTGAGGACCACTAGCTTCCAGGTTGGCAAGGACTTCAGAGGAAACCTCCATTTCCCTGCTGAAATCTTGTGAGGCTGCCTGCCACCGGTCATAGAGAACATTATGACTTAGTTGAGCAAGTCCTCCTCCACAGACCTGCAGGTTGATCTCCGCTTGTTCCAGCTGTTTTCAGCAACTGTATCAGTACTTGAGTCTGGTGTTTTGAACACGTGACTAGCCTCTGTCCATCTACCTGGGGAACCATCAGGGAATGGGGTAAACTGTCCAAAGACTGATTTGGGTGGTCCATGAGGTCGGGAAACGTTTCCTTTCTTAGGGGCTTTGTTTTGGGATGGTGCAGTCTGCCCAGAAGCGTGTGGCCCCATCATCCCGGGAGACCAAGAGCCTGCAGTTGGAATACCAGGATTTTCCACCTGCAACGGAAATGGCACAAAGAGCCTGCTCGGGGTTCCTGATAGAGGGGAGATCACGAAAACCCTCCTCCGTGAGTACTCCTAGGGTTTCTCTGAGATGAATGATTCTTCTAGCAAGGTTCATCCCTATCCCTGGAATAAGCCTAAATCATCCTCAGAGCACATCTTTACTAGATCCCTAGTGTTCATCTTACCTTGTTAGCGTGTTATATGTGTGTTATTTATTGTATGAAAATAGTGTAATCATTTTATCAATGTTTGAGCTCTGTACTTTACACAAGAATTCCCTCACGGGTAATAAAGTATTGTCATTGTCATTCCCATTGTCATTGTAAATGGTTGGCATGCTTGATTATCTGAAATAATCCAACAACCTTACAAAATACATGATAAACAAGTACAAGAATACAGCTGGGAAACGAACATAAGTGTCCGAGCCTTCCCTACAGTATCCTTGCTCTTGTGCTACAACCGAAGGTAAATTCAAGCTGACCTGTAGGTACTTACATGGTAGCTGGGTAACCTTAAACTAACCAAGCTAAAGAGTTGTCAATATTATGGATATGGCGAAGTATTTATGGGTCAAAGGATAGAAGGAGCAGGTTACAACCTGTGCGTCGGGTTTACACCCGCGCAAGACCAAGTCAAACACTCGTTCACTGACAGCCATCTGCATATACATACGTAATATTTCCAGCAATACAAGCCCCTGTGCTTTTGATTGGGTTTGTTTGTTTGTGGTTGAAGGTATATTTGCAGGTATAATGTCCCTGAAAAAATTTCTTTTCTGAGGCAGTTTGTTTTTGGATGGTGCAGTTTGCCCAGAACCATGTTGTCCCACCATCCATCACTGATAGCCATCTACATATGCATACGTAATATTTTCAGCAATAAAAGCCCCTTTTCTTTTGATTGGGTTTGCAGGTATGTTTGCAGGTATGCATACTTCCTGGGTTCAACACTCGTTCACTGATAGCCATCTGCATATGTGGATATGTTGGCAGAATTTATGCTGAACAATAACAAGTAGAGCCCCCTCGGGAAAGACTTCCGCTCGTATCCCCCCTAAAACCTCTCCTAACCCTTACCCTAACCCTAATCCTGATAATTTAATGTCTGTATGCAAAATGTCATTTTTAAACTTTTTTATGGCTTCTAGTCAAATCATATTACCTGAATATATATAAATCTTTTCCCTCATCGTTAAACTTTAGGGGGCTACGGGCGAAAGTCTTACCGAGTTTACAGGAGGGGAAATTGTGCCATTTTTACCCCTTGAAATTTCATTATTAAAGTCAAAATGTATGTTTCAGATGAAAGCGTAATCTCAATAGGTTCGCGTACATAATATACATGTATTTATGAAAAACGTCACATACCATTCATCCTTTATTTCTTTTATCCTAATGTATACCAAATAATTGACTTATGGATTTTCTCATTGCATTTTTCATGTCTGTACTCTTGTTGAAAGTTTACTAATTTTACGAGTTCATTCATAGCTTTGCTTGTCAATTGCACAATCGATATGGCAACGCACGTGAAAATGCATCTTCACTTCTAAACAGTGCTGCAAGTAGTTGTTACCACCCATTGTTGACTGTGACGTAAGTTAAAACATGTTTCTAAATTTGTTGTAATATGCATTTTTTGGTTATTTTTACGTGTAAAATAGTAATTTGGATTATGATTAGAGGACCAAATTAAAAGGCCTAGTTGGGAAAAACATAGTTATTTTAATATTTGTTTAAAATACCTATTTTAATGAAGTAACCATGCAAATAAAGGCGTAAAAAACCATTTTATTTCTGTTTCCGCGAGTACTGTACAACGTTACCAAGCACCCAGCGAAAGTGATTGACAGGTACATGGCAACACTGCAATCAACTCCATGAAATTTACACGTAATGCCAGGAGCGTGGGCATGCAGCTTCCAGCAATCGACATGATAAAGGTCATTCATCAAAAACCTTTGATATTACAATGTATAAACATTAGTTTAGGCCGAATAATGATAATTATAAAACTAACGAGCATTGGGGTATTACTTTATAGCCAGTGAAAAAGCTCAAAACGCTCCAAACAGCGAGTTTTGCTATGAGGGCGTCACGTGACCCAATTATCAATCCTTTCACTTCGTCGTGTGACTTAATTATTTTGTCACAACGTTCACAATTAGGCTTAATCTATAAGCCTTTGTTGTGAAAGTCTAGTGGCATGGAAAGACGATTACCTTGCTTGATTACATGATTACCAGCAGGTGATCGGGGAGATTTGACTTTTTAGGTTCGTTCGGTGAGGTACTTCTGTACGCTTGTCTTGTCACCTGTCAGATTAGTTTATCACGTGCCTCGTTCACACCCGGAAACATACGAGCAGCATCGGATGGTCAGTCCAATGGTACTCAATGTACAAGGGCAGAAGCACCGATCGCTATAGTCTGTTTGCAGTGAAAACGTACCGATGAATTTCACTCTAAACAAAAAAGTAAATCGATTAAAGCGAAATTAAGATTGCGAATCCTCATAATTTTACCTTGCCAATTGAACATTCAAATCTCAGAATTTTATTCAACTTAGGATAAATGTTGTTTAACAAACGATCATGGTTTTCAAATCGCTTTTATTGGTTTGTATTACAAGGGGGTAAGAACCATTAGATGAAACACCGAGAACGAGTAGGGCTGTCTAAGTTAACGCTCATGACGTACCGCACGTGCATTTGTTTCACTGTTCCATCTACTGCGCTTACCCCCTTGTAATACAAACCAATAATAGCGATTTGAATCTATGATCGTTTGTTAAACAACTTTTTATCCTAAGTTGAATAAAATTCTGAGATTTAAATGTTCATTTGGCAAGGTAAAAATTATGAGGATTCGCAATCTTAATTTCACTTATTTTGATTTACTTTTTTGTTTAAGGTCAAATTCATCAGTACGTTTTCACTGCAAACAGACTATAAAAAATCTTTAACAGCGTGTCTGACAGCACGTGTTGCACGAGAAGGTTATTTTGACCCGTTAGTTACGGACATCTGTGACAGGTGTTCTGGTTGTCACCGTAACAAAAATTTAGTGTTAGACCATAAATTAAAAAAACCCACATTTGTGGTAAAAAGAAAAAGAAATCCGACATTGATAAGGAGTGAGTGAGTTCAGTTTTACACGGAGGGGGACACCAAAAAGGGGTTTCACACTTTGTACCCATGTGGGGAATCGAACCCGGGTCACTCACTTCTCCATGACAGTACGTAAAGCCAGAAGTGTGAACCTAAAGTCAAGGAGACTTCAGAAATCAGAAACAAATCAATTGATTTATCAACAGGAATATATTCACTCACGAAACACTCATGGCGTCCACATCTGTATTTACAGATAGAGCTAAGAATGGTGACGCCACAATTAGTTTCGTGCCCTCAGGGTATCAAACATACGCCATGTGACAAAACTGTTTTTTGGAAAACGTGTATGATAAAAATCATCACTTATCACACCACTTGGAATAAGAGTGAGTGAGTTTACTTTTACGCCGCTTTTAGCAATATGTCAGCAATATCCCGGGAGAACCAGAAGTGGGCTTCACACATTGTACCAATGTTGGGAATCGAACCCGGGTCTTCGGCATGACGAGCGAACGCTTTAACCACAAGGCTACCCCAGAGCCCCACTTGGAATACGAATAGAACCTGTCTTTGTGCTCAGATTGACATGCTAGTAATGTCTCCCACTCAGATTCTGTTGTCTCGTGGCAGTATACTTATCCACGGATCGATCTGGCGTTAACCAAACTCAAGAAGTCAAATACGAATCAGTCAAATTTATCACCAAGAATATCATAAATTGAGGAACATTACAATTGATTATGGGGCGGTGGGGTAGCCTAGTGGTTTAAGCGTTCGTCGGTCTTGCCAAAGAACCGGGTTTACTTCCCCCACGTGGGTACAATATGTGATGCCCATTTGTGGTGTCCCCCTCCGTGATATTTCTGGAATATTGCTAAAAGCGACGTAAAACTGAACCCGAAATGGCTGAATTACTAGCCATGTAACTCACTCACTTTAAAAGTTAATTGTTTGTCATAATGGAAACATTTTTGTCCCTTATACCTTAACCAGAGAGTAGGTATGTTATTGCTTAATACGAAGAAATATGCAGAAGTGGCAGACGAAACAATGCGGTGCAAGTGGATGAGCGAGTGAGTTTAGTTTTAGGCCGCACTCAGCAATATTCCAGGTA